TTGACTTGTACATACTACCTCAACCACCACGATAAAAGATTTTCTTCTTTTATTATTATGGTCAATGGTCTTTATTAGCTGCACAGACCATTATTATTCTTTCCCATCCCAGTTGTTGCTAACTATTGCCCCATTTGCTGACTTTGCTGACCCAATCACGATCTCGGCCGGGCTCACCAAAGCAGGTTTTGCCCCGTGAGAGGAAAACCCCGTTGGATGGAGCCAGGATTCGGGCACGATAAGGCCCTGTCTCGGCAGTGCCGGATCTGGTTGAGATCCAGTTAGGGTTAAACTTCCAGGAGAGAGCTGTTGCTCCCCCACTTCCCTAACTAGTTGACCCCAGCCTGGGATTCACCCACCCCCGGGCCAGCAGCCATGGACACCCGCCTGGAGCCGCTGCAGCTGGTCCGCCAGCATATCCACCTGTATGAACCGGTCTCGTCGGCGGCTGCCCCTACCTCGTCGCCCGCCCTGGTCATCCTGTGTACCTGGCTCGGGGGCGCCACCCCGCGTCGTATCAACAAGTATGTTGCGCAGTATCGCCAGATGTATCCCGGCGCATGCATCCTGCTGCTCACCACGACCTTGCCGGACTTGATGTTTCGGTCTTTCAGCACTCTGCGCAACCGTCTCAAACCTGCTGGCCGCGCAATCCGCAGAGTCTTGGCTTTGCACGGTTCGCGCGGCACCTTGTTGCATCTTTTCTCGCATGGTGGTGGCAATATTGCCGTGCAACTAGCATTGTCCCTGAAAGAAGAGGAAGATGCTGGGGCCGCCTTCTTTTCTAGTCTGCGCGGGATCATTCTCGATTGCTGTCCTGGCGACGATACCCTCCACCGGGCAATCGGGGCTGCCCGCATGTCAGTCCCTCAGACGGCTGTCGCCCAGGTCCTGGAGAGAGCTTTTTTGTCCCCCACGTTAACTGTGGTGAATCGGCTGCAGCATGCTGGTGTCCTGCGCTCAGTACGTGACCTGCGCGCACTGCTCCTCGATGCCTCCATCTTTGGTACTAAACCACGGAGACTGTACATATATTCCAAGGAAGATGTCATGGTTGGCTGGGAGGATGTACAGATGCATGTCGAAGATGCCCGCGCACTGGGTTACTCGACCCAGGAACTTGTTTTTGAACATGGCCAACATTGCGGCTTGGTCATGGAAGACCCTGATCGATATTGGACAACAGTCCAAAGATTCTGGCTTGGCGAGAGTTTTGAAAGTGACGCTGACCATAATTCAAATACATCCCCACCTCTGCGCAGTCGCCTGTGAACGTGTCTACAAATCAATGGCCGTTTCCCATATTCGCAAGGAAGAAGCTTGCACCACCTAACTCAGGGAACCTTGATTGCCGATGGCCACCATCTCCATTTTTCCCTTCCATCTATCCATCCCCATTTTGGCCAAGGAGACTTTTATCTACATATCGGGGCTCACCCACTTGCACCACGCGTGGATTGCGAATTTTCCATTGAATTCCGCGTATTATAACCCTACCATTCACGTGATTTTGTACATAGTTGGACATAGACATAATTGATCCATGCAGGACTCGTCGAACCCTAGTAATAAAAACAACTAATCTGTACAAAGAGTAACTCCGGAATATCTGTAACTATTCATGTATTTATTTCTACGGCCCCTACTTTTATAACTATAGGACCTGAGGTCCCCTACGCTAGCCTGCCTTATTATGTTCGTCACTACCTGAGATTAACACCCTCGCTCCCCTATGAAGATTCTTAGTACAAAAAGCATTGGTGCCGGCGCCGCCGGATTCGGCCCATCGCCTATTGTGATTTGGCTTCCTGGAGAGGCTTAGCAGATCGAGGCTAGACGGATTTACTGGATGATCGTAGAATAATAAGATAAGCACTTATTCATTCAAATGATTGATTAATTATTTAGGTATGTGTATATCAATAGTTACAATTCTTCGCCGAGCATACAAAAGACCGCGTTTAAGGGAGCAATACTTACCAACTTCTATTTCTTAATAGCGATAAGCCCTATAAGAAGTAAGATTATGAGGGGCAACTTAGCCCCGCTTCTATGCCGTGTTCGTTGAATTCGGAATCCTGCTAGCCAATTTATGTAACTTACCCACCCTCGCCGCCTCAAGCAATTTTCATCATCTTTCTACTAGAGTTGAGATTCCATCTCCAATAGCCCTTCGTTACCCTCTCTTGTAGCCAAAGATGAGCTCGCAGCCTCAAGTCGCGCCCTATGGCACCTGGAGCAGCCCTATATCAGTTGATCTGGTCTCAGGAAGTAGCGTGTCATTCTCTGAGCTCCACGTTAACGTAAGCCAGCTTGCCACAATAATTATCATAGGTAGCTGACGCGAAAAGCTGAAAACGGGTGCAATCTATCTCGTGGAAGGCAGGCCGGCTGAGAAAGGAAGGTGCGTCATCGTGGAACAACGGGGCACGGAATCAGTCGATATCCTGCCCTCGGAGTACACTGCTCGAAGCACGGTGCATGAGTACGGTGGTGGCGCCTGCGTTATCGGCCCAGATGGAAGTCTGATCTTTACAGACGCCAACACCAGTGGTGTCTTCCGTCTCAAAGCAGCGGACGATGTTCAGCCGATTATCACTGCTTCCAAACAGTTTCGATACGCGGATTTCGACGTTCATCCTCTTCAGACCAATTTGATTCTTGCTATTCAAGAAGATCATTCTGGAAAGACTGTCGAGAATAGGGTTGCACTCATTAATTCGGATGACAAGAGTGTCACGAATATTTGCCACGGAGCGGATTTCTATTCCGCACCAAGATTCAGTCATGACGGGACAAAAGTTTGCTGGGTCCAGTGGAATCATCCTGATATGCCCTGGACTGGAAGCGAACTCTACATTGCAGATTGGAATGCTGCAGGTCCAACGAATGCAAAGCACATTGCTGGTAAAGCTGCTGTGGAAGCTGTCGGGCAACCTAAATGGCACGAAGATGGGACATTGTTTTTCACCAGTGACCGTACTGGATTCGCCCAACTGTATCGTTTAAACCCTTCATCTTTGGAGGTACTCCCACTTGTTTTACCGGGATGGGAAGAAGCAGACATTGCTTGCAAACGAGTATTTTCGGCACTTGGAAAGTAGGTATCCGGCTCTGTGCTGAAGGCATCTTGCTGACTAGTGGACAGCAACTCATACATTATCTTGACGCCTACTCAGCTTGTAGTTACTTCCACCAAGTTCGCCACGGATACACTGCTGCTTGTCGATCTTCAGACTTCCAAAGCGCTGGAGTTCTCGCTCGGTCTCGTCGATATGCCCGTGAACTCGATTCGCAAGATCTCAAACACCAAGTTCGTTGTGATGGGGAGCACAGCAACATCTCCGTCAGCGCTGTACCTCGTTGACATATCGAACCCATCCGAAAAGGTGCTTCTAAAGTCTTCCACTGCTATTCCGTTGTCACCCTCGATATACTCCATTGCCGAACTCATTACGTTCCCTCGGACACAGGGAAAAGAAACAGGAGGCGTTGCTCATGCAATTTTCAACCCGCCCCATAACCCATCGTACACTCCTGTCCCTGGAACTAAGCCCCCAGTCATAGTCTCCATTCACGGTGGGCCAACAGCCCACGATGCGCCAGGCTTGGATCTCAAAACTCAATACTGGACGTCCCGAGGCTACGCTTATGTCCATGTCAATTATGTTGGCAGCACTGGATACGGACGTAAGTACCGGGAGGCCCTCAATTATTCCTGGGGCATCAAAGACGTGGATGATTCCGCATCCTGTGTTGCCTATCTTGCGGAGCAGGGTCTCGTTGATGGCACCAAGGCCGGCATTGTGGGAGGAAGTGCAGGTGGCTATACCGTGCTTCAATCCCTGGTTAATTTCCCGAAACTGTGGGCTGGAGGGAACAGCAAGTTTGGGATCGGAAACTTGAAGTCCCTGGCAATGATGACCCACAAGTTTGAGTCGCACTATCTCTTTGCTCTCATGTTTCCAGGAGATACGCCTGAGCAAGAGAGGGAGAAGATCTATCGAGAGAGAAGTCCTGTCTTCCATGTGGAGAAAATTGAGAGTCCGTTGTTGATATTGCAGGGAGATGAGGACAAGGTGGTGCCTCTCGATCAAGCTGAGGAGATGACGCGAGTCCTAAAAGACGGTGGGAAAGATGTGAAGCTTGTTGTATTTCAAGGTGAAGGACATGGGTTCCGGATGCAGGAGAATGTGAAGGCTGCCATTTTGGAGGAAGAGAAATTGTGGCGGAGGACGTTGCTTGCGCTGGAGTGAATTATAACGGGGGGTTGAGGAAAGAAAACTGGTAGTGGAAGTTTCACGATCATTGAATACCACCTCATTTAAGCCTCAGCGGATCGCTATCACGTCTCGGTTCTTCCTGCGCGTTCGACAGAGTGCACTCACCAGGGAACGATCATGCAGTTTAATTCCTGGAAGATCATTACTTCTTACTATGGACTCACGACGTACATGTATATTGATTGTCCCGAGGTTATCGTATTGCTCCAGCTCTCCGCTGATGATATATTCCGTGGATGTACCAATTCTATCGACGCTCGCTAGCCCTATTCCTATCTTATTACGTTTATCACTACCTTGACGCTAATAACACCCTCGCTCTCCTATGGATATATGAGCCCTGCGATATATGCGATGATTGATTGTACTGCTATGCTTTTACAATACGATGGTCATAAAAAGCCCACGCTACAAAGTTCATGGAGGCCCCGAGACTCGTATCTATACCTAAGTGCCTCTCAACTCAATGAAGGTGGGAGCATTAATGACTGAGTGCTCTGTTCTACGTGGACTGGCGACACCATTTTGGGGACGTACTGTAATCTGCAACTCTCTTACGACTTCACTCGTGGAGAATGGATCTGACATATAGGCTCAGGTGGTAAATTTTCGCATAGTTACTTGGTTCTTCATCAATAATAAAATCAGAATACCTTCATTCGGTACAATTCTTCAGTCACATAATCAAACAAACTCCGGGAAATACGATTCCAATAATCAATTATAGTCAATTGAGTATGGCCAGTTGTCAAGATTCGGAAGCTCGTTCATGACTTCGACAATGAAGAGGGCCTCAGTCCCTAGATCGTCGCCGCCCTGGTCGTAGAGATCTGGGGGACTCAACCCATCTGCATCCATGACGGGGATGTTGATAAAGTAGCCATTTGGCAGAGGATCGTACTGGGACGTGAAGTCCTTGACCATGTCGGTAGGCGAAACATTAGGGAAGTATCCCGTAGAATTGTAGTAGTTGTCCTGAACCCACTCCGCTGCCGTAGCCATAGTATATAGATCAAGCCCATAGTTGCCGACGTCTGACACTCCGGGAGTACCTGAATAGTCACCCCAGGCATATGAGGGTACCAACTCCTGGCTGACCATGAAGAAATATGCAGTGCTCCCATCAGGTGAGCACGCGCGGGCGCCGTCAAGTTTATCGAGGTCCATATCACAGGGTGCTGTACCGGAGATGTCGTCGGTGCGCTTTGCAATGAAGACGTTTTGCTGAACCCAAGCAGCAGCCACAGCACTCGAGTTGATGTACTGTGTTAGTTCGCCGCTTAGGATATTATAGTCGTAATTCGGCAATTCCACGGCGAACGAGCCATTTCGCATGAGGTATGGGGCACTGGTTGTAAAATCATACCAATAGTTTCCAGTCTTCGATCCGCTATTATCGGGGGCAACGTTGATCGCATTTTCGACGACCATCATGGTAGCGTTTTGCATTAGCACGATAGATCGTCCAACCAAGTCCTCGATAGAGCTATAGGTGTCGAGCTCATTTTGTAAACTATCAGATAGTTAGGATATGATGAAGGAGAAGCGAAGATAGGAAAGCCTCAAACTTACAGCTGTGCGTAGTTTGCTTGCATTGAGCTTTGTGCGCCATTTGCAAAAGCATCAAGGCCACTTGCGGCCCCGAGAGCAGACGAAGCTCCTCCGCTAATAGGCCCTAGAAGACCACTAATCCCCCCTAGGAGTCCACCGATCATCGTCAGTATTGCAGATGCGGGGTCCTATTAAATTTGACAAGTCAATACAATATCCAATGTAGCGGAGGTTTGGGGTTCTCGTACGCCGGACAGATCATGAGATGTAAAAGTTGTGACAATACCCATGACTTGGGTTTGGAAAGCGTTCGCTTGTTTTTGAAGCGCATTGTTGACACCTGAATTCCAGTCGAAAAGGTTCTCGCAAGCAGAGAGTGCGAAGAAAAAGATTGGCGTCCACTGGGGATCCTTTTCACAAGCGGCTGTGTCACTAAGGCCGCCGAGATGGCATTGTCCGCTCCCCGCTTCGCAATGTACGTTTGAAAGGCTCTTGGTCTGGGCCGCCAGAAAGTTTACCCAATCTGTGCCGTCTGTGACATTTGCACCGTCGACCGTCATAGGGTAAGTGGAAGACCTAGAGACAAGTTATTACAACTAGCATGTAGCAAATGGCTCATTGCTTTCTTACCAGTAGTCCAACCAGTAATCCATTTCATACTTTACCCAGTTCTCACGGGTAAAGCCATTGTTGCATAGCGCATCCTTGTTGGTTTCTTGTGCCGGGCTGAGGGTAGTTGTGGTGGTAGTTGTGGGAGTTTTGGATGATGGCGAAGACGTGGAGCTAGACTGGGGCGGCTTGGTCGTGACTTCTCGCCTACCAACATGGAGAGCGGATGCCTCAAGGGCTAGCATTGATTGTTAGATAAAGTGGTTCTATTCATGGATGACAAGGAAGGACTAACCAAAGAGGCCCAGCAATGCAGTGTACCTCATAGTAGGAGTAAAGCAGGAAAGAGTATGAATTGCGGACGGAAGTTGAGTTGGAGAGTCCTGGTTTATGTTCTATTGAAGGGAAATACTACGCTTTTATATATACATCTCTTGTAACGTTAAATTACCCCCCGCGCACAAGCCCGATCTCCAATTGCGGAGTAGAAGCCGGACTGTTCAACTGCTACGATAGTCAAAGACAGCGTTCCAAAACATAGAACTGCGGGTATCTCATGGAATAAGAGACAAAAGGCGTTTCATAACTCAGGGAAAGCACCATTTGATTGGATTGATGTAACCAAGTAATGTCGATCTACGCAATGCTTGAGGCACAAGGCTGGCTAGAATTCGCGCGGACCCCAAAGTCTAGTGGAGCTAATACACAATTTTATGTACTACATACTCGTGCCTGCTCTTGATCATAGCTCATGATAACTAGCCGATGTGGAGTTTCCTGTTCAGCATTACCTCAGCTTAGCTGATGTCTCTGGTTCCAATATATTCTACTTTCAGCTTGCTCTATGGGTTCCAAATTCCACTTCACTCAGGAAGCCTTGCACGTTCTATGCTTTCGAGAAATGCTTGGCTTAACCAGGCCCTTGCATATATGCGGTTCTTCTTTTTTTGGGGCCAATGCAATGTCTGACTCGCATCCACGCAGATAAGACAGAGGGGCGGTGATGTGAGCATGCGACGAGACAAAGCTGGCAACGCTAAATTCTGACCGAACTCACTATAGACGAGGCTGCTCGTAGCGATGTTACAAGGCGGAGCTATCAGCTAACAGTTCTGGGTTAATACAGTGGATGATCTAGCATTCGGATCCTGGAATGTCACGCTGGGGTTGATCATTAACGCAGCCAAGGGGCAAGCCTGTCAGTTACCACGCGGGATCAACACGGTAACAAGGTCTAATGAGCCTCGCCCCCAACGACGTGCATAATTTCCTGGTTAGACTTGAAACACGGACTTGGCGTGCATAACCGAAAATGGACATCACGTGGATTATTGGATGATCAACTAGGTTCTTCTACATACGTATCGCTCTATATCTATCACTTTGTAGAGACACTTAGGGGTAAATAAACTTGCTAAGTGGGTTTCTTAGTCACAGGCGAGTGTCCTATTTGGGAAAGAGGTGTAAACATTCTCATGAAATATACCCAGACTAGATCTCCTCCAGGCGTTTCAGGCCGTGGTTAGTGCATACGCGATCACTCGGGGAGCTTCGGCGACCCGTGCTATAGACGATGTCGTAATTGAAGCACAGTTGAAGAGCCGAGAGAGAAAGAAGTGTTGGCTATTCTTCTATCACAAGACTGACCAAGGCTGACCAAGGCTGACCAGGGCTGATTCTCGTTGGAATTCTAAGAAGCTGACCGTGACAAGGGAAAGTGGTCAAAGCACTAGCCTGCCTGTCAAACAATAACAATGCTTGCAGGGTATGTGGAATATTAGCTCAAAAACGTGGCGAAGTGTGGATATACGATCGTAGCTTGATTGCCAGAAAGGGCGGGTGGCTTGAATAGATCGAAATAACCTCGGATGTTTAGATCGTCTCGCCTTCCATTAGTGTGTTACAGGCGCAAGCCACCGTCGCAGCCGTGCGACCAGATGGATCTCAGAGTATCAGGACCCGATGTCGATCTTCATGGAATAAACTTGTTCCATTCAACATGTCTACGACACACTGGGGGTAGGGCGGGGGGTTAGGGTGGGTGTCACGGGTAGTGGATCGGCTTCGCCGCTATCCTGAACTGGCACGAGCACACACGAGCTGCGCCTATGCAATATGTAGTGATAACTTTGTAAGTGAAATCTCGGACAAAGTGTGAAGGTAGGTCGTCTATAATTTGGGGTTAACTAGGTTTAAATCCCGTAGAGTGTCTGAACTTATAGACAGGGGAGTGTTGGTCGTGCCAGAATGGGGGATTCCCGCTATTCAGTTGTAATGTAACCTTACTCCAAAGTGCCTTGACTGAACGTTGGTGATGAAATTGGCAAAATTGAGAGCGGGCTCTTATGAGGTACCCCTATTCACTGCGTGAACCGTGCTGATAACCCGATGTAGACGGGCCTGCTGGATCATTGTACAATACTCTCATCAATGGTTTTAGTGGCATCAGCGGAGATTTTCAGAACAGCAACCTTGCTGAAGATGCGTGCACTGACGTCTAAAATATATCAAAATTTCCATCTCCCAGCGTATGATGCATGGGCAGATACTTCTCTTGCGCTGTAGTCTTTGGGTATCCGACAATGTGGATTACAGGGACGAGCTCCGCGCTGGCACCGGCCAACGCGTTCAGGGCAGAGAGCTCGCGCACTCCGAGGCTGGCAATTATAGCAGATATTCCTTTGATTCTGGCGTATCTGTCGGCATCTTAGCCTAGAACGTGTTAGTGGCGAAGGTGAGGTAGGAAATGGAAATTCGATCCTACCGGCGTTGAGCTCGTTGACATTCCCTATCCATTCCAGGCCACATGTGTCACGAAGTCGAGTGTGGCTAGATTGTAGTCTCCCGGAACGCCGAACACAGATCGTATCTGGATTTGGTACAAGCGGCGGAGTAGATACTCAGCGATTAACATCGGTCAAGACTCGGATAATGGATTTGTATTGAGCTCACCTCGGCAAGATGCATTGTAGGTCACGAAATTTCTTTAGTGCGATGATTTGAAGGAATTCCAGCAATATCCAGTGTAACTGGGTTAGTATCCGACTCGGGTCTGCTTCTTATATGGAACTTCCACGCCTGATTCGAAGAGAGCACGGACAAGATGGATTCAGGACAAGGCCAGCATGATGGTAATGGGACCAACAAGCCTTATCAGACTGTAGGTTATTTCAAATGCTCTAGTATCTCTGGGAAGAGTGCTTGGGAAATCGGTATCAACGGTAACGAGGAGGATGCGTCGTTGAAGGCGGTTGTGCGCGCCGCAGCGACAGTAAGTCAGACCCTGGCTGGACCGAAATGTTCATTGCTAACAGAGATTAGTTCGTCTAGACATGAACCCATGATAAATCTCAGGTTTCACAATTGAATTGTTCTTTAACAGTGTAGAGGAAGCCGGAAAGACACCGAGTGTTGGTTGCCAGTAGATAGCGTAGATAGTAGCCGCGCCAGCTAACCCGTTCGGGCAACGAGCTGTGCCAGTAAACATCCACTCCCGACCACCGTTCTTTCTCCTACTTGCAACAGCCATGCCTCGTCACCTCCGCCGTCATAGCAGAGACACAATCCAGAACAATGGACAAGGCACACAACTCCCCAGCCATTTCCAAACACCGCCCTCGCGCCACACCCCCTCCAATCCCACCCACCGATATGTGCCCACCACCGCAGGGCCACAAGCACTCGTAACTCCCGACACGGTCCCCGTCGCGGCGGGCGACCCCGCTGCGCGCGTGAACCCCTTCACAGTCTTCGGTCCGTCGGGCTCAGACCCCAACGCGCAGGAGATGATGGACGACGAAGACGAGTTCGACGACGATTACCACCCGCAAGCGTCTGCGATGGGCATGGATGCTCCCCTGGATCCTGAGGATGAAGAAGATGATGACGATATAGATGACTCGGAGGAGATCGATGGCGAAGAAGTGGAGGATATGACAGCGGACCAGCTGGACGGCGAGGACGAAGACGCGGATGAAGAGATGCACGATCGAGGTACGCTACCACTCACTCCCCTTGATCTCCTGTTTTGTTTAGCTGGCTGATGGGAAAAGAAACAGAAACATCACCTTCCCCCTTACCACCAAATCTCCGCGAGATCTCTTCGCTTGCTTCCTGGACCGTCTCGACCTCCAAACCAGGCTGCGGTGTCGCCGCCCTGCGACACCCGTCCCCGTCTCAATACTGGCAATCCGATGGACCGCAGCCGCACACGCTGACGCTACATTTCTTCAAACTTGTCGCCGTGGTGCGCATCCGCGTTTATCTCGATTTCGAGATGGACGAGAGCTACACGCCTACAAAGATGGTCTTCCTGGCGGGCATGGGCGGGAACGATCTCGTAGAGTTTGCTACGTGGGAAGGCGATACGCCGTGCGGGTGGGTGGATGTGCCGCTGGAGGGAGTCGGAGGACGGAATGGCGGCTGGGTGAGGAATGATGTTGCCGTAAGACCGAGGCATCGGGCTAAGTCGTCCAGACGGACTGTGGCATCGCATCGGCACAACGGCGATGAGAATGATGTGGGGGAGACAGGGGCGAACGACGCCGAGAACGGCGATCACTTTGATGACGATGAAGATGAGGACCACCGACAGGATATCTATGCGGGCAACGTGCTCAAGGCGATGGTCATTCAGATGCGCGTGGTCGAGAACCACCAGAACGGGAAAGATACCCATGTGCGCGGCTTCCAGGTCTTTTCGTGTGATGATAGCCGCCGCCGAATGGCTGCTGCGCCATCTGCCTCGGCGGATGACCGCCATCGTCAGCATAAAGTTCGCCATTCCCTTCGCGCCGGCGTCCAGGGTGTCCTCGGCCATGACTCGCTAGGCAATGAAGATGTCGAGGCGGGTAGATTGTCGTTGACTTCTGGGCTGAGCGAACCAGACTGGATGGGTGAGCCGGTGATTCGCTAATGAGCTGGATACATCCATGCATGCGCAGGTGTTTGGGGGGGGAAGCTGGCTGGCTTTACTGGTACAAAAATGGGGCTCATCATTCTACAGTTGTTCGGAGTTGCGTTGCATCAAGATACCCTTTTTTTACTTCATATGGATTGAGTCCGGGCAGTACCTATCACATTAGATTTATCTTCATCACGGCGAATGATTCAAAACGGGTATTCATTTGTTAGACCTTCCCTCTCTACACCGAAATCTTCTTTTATTATATACCGCACACACACACATTTAGAGCTTAGAGCAGCTTCTCCAGCTCAGCAGCAACGGCATCGCCGACCTCCGCGGTGGTCGCCTTGCCGCCGATATCGCCGGTGCGCACGCCCGCCTCGATGACGTTACTCACTGCCTTCTCAATGATGCGGGCCTCGTCGAACCGGCCAAAGGAGTACTGCATCATCATGGCGATGGAGAGGATAGCAGCGACGGGGTTGACGATGCCCTTGCCGGCGATGTCAGGGGCGGAACCTGAGGCAGTGTTAGCATTGCCCAAAGGAAAACAATAAAACAGAAGAGCAGAAACAAGGGGAAGAGTCAAAGACATACCGTGAATAGGCTCATAAATACCATTCACCCGCGTCTTCCCATCAGGCACGCCACTAAGCGACGCACTCGGCAACAGTCCCAACGAGCCAGGAATAACGCTCGCCTCATCACTAATAATATCACCGAACAGATTGCTCGTAACGACAATCCCATTGAGCTTGCGCGGATCCTTAACCATAAGCATAGCGGCGGAGTCAATAAGATGGTGACCGAGCTTAACAGTCGGGAACTCCTTCTCCATAACCTCAGTAACAACCTTGCGCCACAGTCGCGACGTGGCGAGGACGTTCGCCTTGTCGAGACTCCACACGGGCAGCGGCGGGGTGTGCTGCAGAGCAAGGTGCGCGGCCAGCCGGGTGATGCGCTCGATCTCGGCGCGCGAGTACGGCTCCGTGTCCATTGCGAATCCGCTGCCGTCGTCTTCGGTGCGGTCACCAAAGTAGATTCCGCCTGTTAGCTCGCGGATGATGTTGAAGTCCACGCCGCGGCAGACCTCGGCTTTGAGGGGGGAGCCATCGACGAGAGAGGGCGCGGCGAAGTTGCAGGGTCGCAGGTTGCCGAATGTGCCCATTTCCTTGCGCAGCTTCAGGAGGCCTTGTTCTGGGCGGACGGCGCCGGTACCCCATTTCTATATTAGGGAGGGATGGTTAAGTATGCGTTTCTTTTTGGTGAGATGGGGAGGGGAGAAGGAGAGACGTACCGGTCCTCCGATTGCGCCGAGCAGGACGGCATCCGCGTTCTTCGCGGCCGTGAGAGCCTCATCCGTCAAGGGGGAGCCGGTGGCATCGATAGAGGCCTATTTGGTTATTTGCGACAATCAGCATTGACCCGTCGACTTGGTTGTGCAGTGTGGTGGGGGATGCTCACGCCGCCCAGCAGGTGGTCTTGCAGGTTGAAGCTGATATCACCGCGCTTCTTCTCGATGACCTTGAGGATCTAGAGGGGTGTCAATTCGGTCCTGCTCTTCATTACATATAGGTCGTCGCACCTTGATGGCCTCCTTGGTGACCTGTGTCTCTGTCAGTACTGATTCAACTTGACCCCACGTCATGGCGGGAGCTTTTTCTGGGGTGAGAGCGCACCTCCGGACCGCAGTGGTCACCGGCGAAGACGACGACGTTGAAGGACGACATGTTGCGAAGGGGCGAAGCGAGGGTGCAAGAAGAAGAGAAATTAAATGTAGGAGAAAGAGTCAATGAGTCAATTGGAGCTCCGTAAGAAGATGTGGTCGAGGAAAAGCGGGTGAATTATTTGGGCCCCGCCAACGCCGAGATCGGAGTGTCGGGCCAGAGCTAGGGTGATGCAGGAGACGTCATCTACGGATCGTGTGTAACACGAAGGATTGCATTAAAGATATATCTCAGGGATAAGAACGAAGAGAAGGGAAAAGAGAAAAGAGAGGACAAACACACAACAAGAAGCACAACACCGTGTGCACTGTACAGACACAAAACCACACATCCTTAAAACCCAAGGGCCTTCCCGGAGCTTCCCAAGACACGCTCATGATACGTAGGATCTGAATGTCCCTTCACCCCTAGACCAACCATCCGTGCGAGCCGCTCGCAGATCCTGAAATCACAAACCGAAGCTCCGAAGCCATGCATCACGAGAGGGAGGGAGGGAGAGAATACAAGAAAAGTAAAACCAGTCCACTAGCCGCAGACAATGCTGGACAGTCGATTATTTCTTCTTGTTGGCGCGCCGGTCCTTCACGTCGCCCTCCGCTAGCCACCGGCTGGCATTGATCAGCTGCACCACGTTGACAAACTGCTTGAACAGCATGACCGGTGCCGAGATGCTGGTAACTACCCAAGGCCAGTAACTGTCGATTTTGTTGGCGCGCGCTAGCTCGAGGGCACCAGCACTCCAGGGGCTGGCGAAGAGGCTGGCTGGCGCCGGGTGCGCTGGGTTCCCGGGCTGCGCCGAGGACGGCACGGCTTCGGGAACGGGCTGCAGTAGCGAGGGGGAGAGGGTCGGCGAGGAGAAGGACAGGAGGTACAGGCCGATGAAGAACAGCTCGTTCAGCCCGCAGCAAATGAACAGGACGACCTGTAAAAAGAGAGGGTCAGAGAATTAAAAAAAAAAAAACGCGTGGAGCATCAACCAAATGGACTCTCTCACCTTGCTGTGATAGTACTGGTAGAGCACCCAGTTCCGAGTCGCCTCCACGTTCTTGTGGCTCTGGTTTTGGCCGCCCATGCTCAGCGTCGCATACATGTGCATGTAGTGACTCGCCAGGTCGAGGGAGATCAGCCCCTGGAAAACGATCGCCCACCGGGGCCAGGCGGAACTGAGGAAAACGAGCAGACAGGCGGTGCTGCAGCGATCCGTGACCATATCCAGCACAGCGCCGAAGGTGGTCGACTGGTTGAAGTATCGTGCCGCGTAGCCGTCCAATGCGTCCAGCAGACACGACACGCTGTAAAGGAGGGAGCAGGTCCGGGGGTGGAGGGGCATGTAGTAGAGCGACGCGATGGCCAGGACAATGCGAGAATACCCTATGAGAAAAGACACTTGTTAGAGGGCAAGTCATATAGACGGTAAGCACGGGGCCAGCTACCGATCAGGTTCGGGGCGAAGAGAAACACGTTCTCCCTTTTCGTCTCTTGCCGGATGGCGGACCGGCTTCGCTTCTTAGATGGTGTGCGACTCTTCGAGGGCGTCAGCATGGCGCCATTGCTGTCTGGAGATTCCTCTCCTTCCGATCCCTGCGCGGCAAGCGCTTTTTGCCTTCGTGTTCGTGCACTCATTGTGTTGGTTTGCGAAGGGGAGCTATGTGTGTTACAGATGATTCAATTCAGCGGCTCGAACGGCGATCAGTTGCAGCGTAGGTAGAGATTGGAGTTCGTCCAAAGCCTGGGTGTCCCTGGACAGATGAAGCAATTGGATCAGTTGCGGTGTTTTGGGTTGAGGGACGGACCAGCGTTGTTGCCGACGTTTGGGTTTAAAAGAGGACAACAACGCGGACCAGGGAGGGATCCACACCCACCAGTTCCGGAGCAAGAGGGGGTGTCTGTGTGTGCGTGTTGATCTGATAAGAACGCGAGAGAGGGTGGATGGTTAGAAGCTGATTGTGACGGGGATTATTAGGAAGTGAGAGTTGGTGAAGGAGAAATTCCCGAGGGCGATAAGGGATGAGAGAGAGGTGATAAGCGTATTTGTTGTGCCAGGGGTTTTTCCTCTTAGGGTTTGCTAGAGAATGTACCGGGTATCTACATGAACAAGTAGTTTACTTGTACAGACTCTAAACTATGCCTTAGCTAGTATCTGTTAATGCAATAAAAACCCTCTATTGATGCACCGAGATACTTCCTACACCCACCAGAAACTATACTGAAACGGAAACTATATGCCAGCCCTAATATGTACAATCCACCGTCCCATCTGTCACCATATCATGTCCGTGACCTGCGCGGATCCGTAGCTTCTTGTCGCCGCCACTCGCGAGACTCTTTCGTCCCTAGGCTTCCCACGCCGCCTTCGAGTCGGCGCTCCCATCCACCGAGTCGGATGACCAGGCACGTGGCATTGTCGCCTTCCTTGGTGACCTCCGTCGCGAATTTGACCACGTCGTTGGCACCTTGGTCCGGCGTGCGGGCCTCCTTGATGATGTCCACAACTTCCTGGTCGAGGAGCGTGCCGCTGATACCGTCTGAGACCATGACGAGGAACGAGAACTCGGCGGGGCCCATTTCAATGCGACGCAGCTCGGGTTCAGCAGAAACGCCGATGCGCTTGGACTGGACATCGCCAAATGCTCGCGTGTTGGCAAGCCCGCTCATACGCTCCTCGCCGAAGGAATCGGTCACGAAGGTGGCCGCGTACCGGCGCAGTCGGCTTGCTTCGATGGGTGATGAGGGGTGGTGGTTGGATGTGACTGGGATGGCCTCTCCCGTGGCGGTGGAGCACAGCATAATCCGCGTGTCGCCCACGTGCGAGACCAGTAGGCTGGACGGCCCTGCGGGGTGCCAGAACGGGGTCGGCGTCGGTGTCGAGATCATGGCCACGCTTGCAGTGCTGCCACCCTTGAACCGCGCGCGTCCGCCAATCTTGATGGACCGAGTCTGGCTGGGACTGTGCAGAATCTCGTCCTCATTCAATGGTTTCTCAGCCTGGACCAGATCGTCGTCACGCTTGGCCGCTTGCGCTTTCATGAAATCTAGGTCTGCGCGCAAGAACGCATACTCCAGGACCTCTTCAATCGAGGCGCAACCCATTGCTCGAGCGTCTACTGCAGACTCGGTCCCGTAGTAGAAGAAGTTTGGCGGCTTGAACCGTTTGAAATAGCCGCCCACTAACCGTCTCCAGTTCTGGACCAGGGTTTTCTCCAGATCACCGATGCGCTGTCGATTTCCTCCCTGCATCACTGGTAGTGACGTAGTAGCCATGTCTATCTCTGCAGTTTCTTCTATCCCTTCCATCACTTTGGGCGCCTGTGTCGTACGCAGGCTCGACTCGAGCTCGAAATCGGCAGCCGTATTCTGGATGTACTCGTGCAAATTATCTCTCAGAAATGCACTGCACTCGGCCCCGCCGTGGCCGTCAAAGATGCCAAAGTAGAAGACCTGCGGATCTCCGCTGGCGGTCTGCGCGCCGCGCGACTCTCGGCTCTGAGCCTCAGCATCTCGCTTGATGGTCAGCGACGCGGGTGGTCTTTTGGCGAACGCTGGAATATCGATGACCCCGGCTTGATATGCGTCTTCATTGCTCGGGCGAGTGCCACGGGCGCTGACGGCCCCAAAGTGATGCTTGGCGCTGCGCAGTGGAACGCGTACCACAGTCGTCTCCCGGCCTACCAGCGCCTGGAAGTTGGTCGGTGATCGGGGGGTGTCTCCAGTGTGTGGGATCGACGCGGAGCGAGGCAGTTTGTGGAAGGAAGAGGTCGGTCCGCGCGGATCGGGATGGAGGGAGGAGCTTGGGATATGCGTGACGAAATAGTCGTGGAACTGGCGGTGTCTCGTTGCGGCTGGCCGGTCGTTGGATGCTTCAGTGGTGTAGCGGAGTCGTGCTCGCCGCGGCAAGAGGAAAGCTGGTTTGGTCAGATGAAGTGTCCAGATGTCGATCGGAGATCACATCGATCACGTACAGGAGGAGTCGGCCAAGAACCTGGCCTGGCCCGGTGCGCGCCGTGCCGAAGTGACGATCATGAAGGGGGAGGCATTGAGAGGAGGCGCGAGAGGTGAAAAGAGAGAAGTCAAGGAGGAGCAAGTGGCCCCGTCAAGGGAAAAAAGCGTGGGGGGAACAAACAGTCGGGCCCGAGCGTCGGCAGATAAGCACGGGAGGACTTGGAGTTAGTTACCATGAAGAATGAGAAAGATGCAATTATTTAGTGCTAGTTCTTGGGCGGATATAATTCCCAGAGAATGTAGCTAGTCTCTATCATCTCTGGGGGTGGTGATATATATCGTGACTAGGGAAATTTTGTTATGATGATTAATAATAGTTACCAGCCTGGGCGGCCTTACGTAGCAGGTCGACTATTAGATATGCCTCAAGAGAAAAAAGAAATGCATTGTACAATTGAACTAAAGACTAGAGGATGCAACCAAGGCAGGAGGAATACGTTCCTAGAGACAAAATCATTTTGCGAGTAGCAGATGGGGATTCCCCTGGCGAACAAAGAAAATGCTGGAAACGGAAAAAGAAGAATTGGCACCTACCAAGGGGCAGAGTTTTGCTCATGATCTGCCTGCAAGAGAATGTGCCAGAACAAGAACAGGCAGCGGTTAGATGGCCTTGGTGCGCGAGAAGAGACTGCTGTAGACGGCATCAACCACGGGCTGGGCGGTGATCTGCCTGCCGCCGAAGAAGCGGCCGTTCAAACCCTTGATGGCATTTTCGCCGCCCTGGACGCGGTCGAACTTCAGGTAGATGTCGCCTTGAGAGTTGGGATCTAGCGAAATGTGAACAACGTGACCATATTTCTCTTCGCACTCGGAGCGGACGTCATCCTCCAACTCCTTGATCCAGGCATCTCCTTCTTCTCTGTACGGGATTGGCAGTTAGCATTGTGAAGGGAAAAGAAAGCAGAGAGGAGGGGAGGAACTTACTCGGCAGCATCAAACATATTGCGCAGCAACACACATCGGCTTGCCATGTTGACATTGACGGGCAACGGCTTGGTCTCGGTCTTGGGCCGGAGCATCTTCTGTTGGTCATCGACCGAGGGCTCGGGTTCATCTGTTCGTGCAAGCTTCCTCATCAACGCGTCCCTACTGTAGTTGTTGAAGTTCACACCGGCAACATCTGTGTCATCGAGAGCACTGGCGCCGCCGCCCTTTTCGGCTTCTCTGCCACCCGCACGGTCAAAGTTGTTCGACCCTCCAGCTTGGACGCCACGTCCTCCATGGCCGGAGAATGATGAGCCCTGGAAACTCTGTTGGTTTGCGGAAGCGCTCTGCGGGCGATTCGTGGTGTTCGATTCTGGAGTGAACTTATCGTTGCCAAGGCCAACGCGAATGGCCCGTCCCGCAAGGTCAAAGCCATTCATCTTCTCCAAAGCATCCCGGGCTTGATTGGGGTCTCGGAATCTGCGTTGGTCGGTTAGCCAGAACATTCTTGAGGCGGGTGAAAAAGGGAACCTTACTGCACAAACGCATAACCCTTGCTCCGACCCGTCTCATCTTTCTGCAGTTGAACAAACTCAAGTTCGCCAAAAGGCTCGAAGACATTCTGTAGGTCACTTTCAGTGATGCTGAAATGGACGTTACCCACATAAAGTCTGTGAAATGGTGCCGAGTGGTTTTGGCCCGAGCTAGCTTCTGGGTTGCGAGCCTGGCGGTTCTTCTCCGCCTCGGTCAGTTGAGCTATGATGGGGATGCCTAGAAGCTTCTGGCCGGTAAGCTGAATCGCCGGAGGCACGGACTCCTCGCTTCTGAATTCGACGTAGCCGACACTAGATACTCAGTTAGCAAACGAAATAGAAATGAGTGAAGAAAATCTTACCCTTTTGACCGTCCGCTAACACGATCCTTGACAATTTGAGCCTCTTTAACAGGGCCAACCTTTTCGAAGAAGGCCATCAGTTCTTTGGTTCTCAGACGCGCGGCAAGCTGTTGCACAAAAATAGTCCGTTTATCCCGCTCATCCTCATTGAGCTCGGGGGTTTTGGCACGAGGGCTCGGACGGCGCCCCTCACGATCGCGGCGCGAGCGTTTTTCATCCTCGCGCTCTCGGCGGGAAGGGCGGTAGTGGCGATCATCATACGGAGACCGGGATCGAGTACGTGTCTGTCCTCGACCACGATAGAAATCACCGCTGGAGCGGTGGTCGTCGCCGCCGTAACGGTCGCGCCGAGCACGACGGCGGTCGCTCTCACGACTCCTGCTCCTCTTTCGGCTTCTATGGCTTCCGTTAGCACTGCCATGTTCGCTGCGCGGGCTTTTCATGTCCTCATCGCCGTCCGCATCACGTTCACGGGGGCGATCTCGGCTGCGGTCGCGGCGGCGGCGTCTATCTCGGGAGCGGTCGCGGTCTCGCGGTTCGCTGGCATCCGCGCGAGAACGGTCATCGTGATCGTCTGGTTTGCGGGGTTCCTGTGCTGGAGCAGCGGTGGACTCGAGGAGTGCTTCTACATCAAGACCGGACATTGTGTGGAGAGAGGCAGCCTGACGTTTGGTTGTGGTTGAGAGAGTCCGGGGGGAGGGATTGTCACTTGGGTTTCAAGTCAGAGTGTGGAATGAAAAAGGGGCAGACTTGACGGTCGAACCCTTCTAGCAGTTTGAGAGACGGTTCTGAGCAATCGAAATCCAGGCCAAACGAGAGAAACTCGAGGGTTGGGAGGTGTATTTGGAGTGAATGAGGTGTGACGGACGAACAGTCAAGGACGATCCTTAGGTTGAGGCAAAGTCAGTCACGTGATATTCAAAGTTTTTTGTGTGGCCGGATGGAAGAGAAGGACGCATGCAGAACAGAGTACGAGGCAACTTTTGTAGGAGATAATTGGAATATTGGTAACTTCATTATGATTATCGGATAATGTACTGGTTAGTGATGCTGGACAAAAGGATAGATGAATCAACTCCGCCAGTCCACACTATGTGCTGAAAAGGGTGAAGCGCGCTGTACATGAAATGAACCCCTCAAAAGGCCAGGACAATGGCAACCAAACGCAATAGCCTTGGATAGTGAATTGGGAGCCAAGCGTCTATTGTGCCTTGGCACCCTTAGGAGGCGGAGTCTCTAGCTCCGTGCCAAAGATGCGGTCCCAGAACCGGCTAGTGACGCCAAACCCATTCTCAAAGTCGGCGAAGTGGTGCTGTAAGTGGTATTTTTTGAGCTCTTTGTAGTGCAGGGGAAGGCTAGACAGATATTAGCGTTGGTACCAGCGGTGAAGAAGGCAGAGATCAACTCACTTGCGGTGATGGAGGAAGTAATGAGTCAGGTCGTAGCAAATGTAGCCGAAAATGCCACCACAGTACACAGTCACAGCGGCATACCAGTTGTAAAAGAACACTGCATGCGCCAACTTCCAGAATGGAGCGGCGAGAACAACAAACAGTGTTGGGGGCATGACAAGTCGGTATTTGTCCATGGGGAGATAGTGGTGGATGCCGTGCAGCAGGAAATGAAGGGTCAGACCGACACGGTTATCCGGAAGCCACCTGAGTAGAAGGTTAGGAGCATGATATATATAGAAGAGGTCGGTGGTCATACCGTTCAACGTGAAACAGGAAGCGATGCAGGATGTACTCGATCAAACTCCAGAGAAAGAGACCACCGAGCCAGTATGCGGCAGCGGCAGCCGGGTTCCCCAAGCCCGCAAATCCGAGCATGGTTCCGTAGGTGACAGGAGGCAGCCAGACGATTGGAATAATATACCACGCCGTCTTGCTGAGCGGCTCTAAGAAGTTGCCAAAAAGCGGCGCGGACTCGCCTCCCTTGTAGTGGCGAGGCCGGTGAACCTGCTCGAGGTAAAATTCCTTGGAGAACCCGCTAAACCAGAGCTGCATAAGCAGCGGCCTGTTGAGATCCAGGAAATGGTGTGTCTTAAAATCTTGCGTATAGTCCGTGTCGACGGAGAGGTCTTCTTCGCGCGACATGCCGGTGGTTCCGTAAACGGCCTGTGATGGTTCATCTCCCACGTCTGTCGCAGAGCTCTTCCCCTTTGTCGGGACGGTCGAACTATCCGAGATCACGAAGCCGACATGGCAGTCCGCCAGAATCTCATAGGCGGCGTCGCCATGGGTATGGGAGACCTCGTCCTCCATGATCTCCTTGACATCCTTGCCCGCATACTCCAAGATCAGATCGCCTCCACCGGGGTGGTCGTCCATAAAGTCGGTGACATCGTAGACATTGCGGCCGAGGGTCACGTAGCAGGACTTGGCGCTGTTATGCGACTCGACCTCGGCAGGGGTGAAGGTTGGCAGAACCCGTCCAGGCATGATCACGGGAAAACCAGCCGATACGGCAGGGTCAGGTTGCAGCGAGTGTGGAGAGAGAAAGCCCGAGGGGGTGGGTTGTTGTTTGTTGAGCAGACGGGCGATAAGAAATAAAAGTTTCAGGGGAGGGCCGTGTGGCGTGAGAGGGAGCCGAAGGACCCGCCGGTTCAGGCAATTTCGAACTGTCACAAACTGCTAATCGACGCCAAGGCCAGGAGTCGGATGAGAAGGGAATGCGAGGATGGAGGAAGGAGACAAGTAGATTCGAAAGTTGAAAGCAAAAGGCAGAAGGAGGGAAAGCAAAAGCAAACCAGAACTGAATGGATTATTCAGGCATCAGTCCGACACTAACCTGATTCGGAGCTAGCGGGCCCATGTGACTGCTTATATAAGGGAGATTGTTTGTCCGCCCGAGGTGATTTGAACATCTTACCCAGTAATATTCTTGTATATCTCTATGGCTACTAGGTATACAAGATCTATTCAATATATATTTCTCTGAGCACGTCAGAGGCGACACGATCCTACCTGGATAAGGCTGCAGAGACCGTGCAGTGGACGGCCGATCCAGGATTGCCAGGATTGCGCCGGTGCAACCGATCGACTCTTCGCAGGTGCAAATCGTGATTCTAGCAGAGCGTATCGCAAGTTTAAACGAGTTTGCAACAGACTGTCCACCTCCTGCTAAATAGTGCGGCGTAACTAGTGCAAAGCCCGGTCGTTAGTTAGCGCCCCTCATCTCGCTGCGATCAACAATTACTAGTGCTCGAACGCCCCTCACACGGTCGATTGCCTCCGAACGCCATCATTGGCCACTGTTTGTTTGCAAGCCGGGTGAGTGACCCGCCAGGAGCCTAACAGCATATTATGGATGAACCCGCCACTCCGACTCCTGAGGTGGGGGGTGTTGGTTGGGAAGAAATTCCGGGCTAATTCTGATCCAGACCTGCTTCCCTCGCGCTAAAGGATCGAATTCATTCATAACTAGTCTGCGGCTCCATCTGATCGGTCGCGGTAGTTCGTTTCCTGCTTTTTCATCATACATACTCCCTCCCCGTAATTCAAGATGACGGACGTCTCGCTGTCTTTCACAGACAACACTATTCTGGCCTATCTCCACACATTGGTGGCCACCAAGCCAGGACTACCTCATGGACAGCCCGTCTGCGTGCTGACGGGGCACAATGTCAATGACTCGGAGACGCTGGTCCAATTGGCAGCGGACCTAGGCCCTCACATTGCCGTTTTGCAAGTCGCCGCAGAGCTCATCAATGACTGGACCGACGGGACAATTGACCAGCTCACCTATCTGGCAAGGAAGCATCGGTTTTTGCTGTGGGAGGGAAGCAAGATGATGAACTGCACCGTCGACTTTACAGCCCAGATCAAGGATTCGCATGTCGTGCGTAATACCATGCGCGACCTCATCCAGAAGAAATATACCAAAGGGACCGTAAAGTTGGCGACGTGGTCAGGTCTCGCGACCTGCTACGCTCCCGGGATTGCTGCTTCACAGGCAGGAATGGACATATTGATTTCCTCGCTCAGAGACGCAGCTCGGGACACCGTCGCGGCGACGGTGAAGAACATCCAAACAGAAATCTCCGCCGAGCAGACGGGCAGCGGATCCTCTGATGACGGCACCCCGGAGGAAGCGAGCACGGGTAATGTCCAGCAAATCGATTCCTGGGAAGAACTAGCCGCGAACAACCTGGGCGTGAGTACGCGCAAATTGTCAACCATCTCGCTCACCCAGACGATCACCCAGCAAACCGAGACCATCGACGACGAATCCAAACCGAGTGCGGATCCGCGCCTCCAAAAACTCCTGCAGAGCCGTCTCGTTGCAGCAGCTGGGGATGGCCCCCTGCCGCCACCGCTGCTGGCACGCGGCATGGTGTACATCATGCCTGTTTCGGAGAACTCGTCCTTCAAGTCGGAGTATCGCCGGGTTTCGATCGAGTCAGCACGACAGAACCAGGACTTTGTCTGTGGTTTTCTATCCACCGAGCCCTGGTTCACCAGTGGCCGTGGAAACGATCTGGTTGACCTAGACTCAATGGACGAAAAGGGTCTACCGCTCCCTGTGAACAAGCGCTCGCCCGAATCTACCTACCTAGAGAAGTCGCACTCGATGGCTCTGTTCTCACTTGTACCACCACAGCTGGGTGTGGGTGTGCCTATGGAGGACCGTGAAGACACACAGTCTCAATATGCATTCAAGCTGGAATCCATTATTGGGAAGGCCATTCAGCTTCGGGAGGTCAACTTGAGGAAGAGAGAGCTTGAGAGGAAGAACACCGCGGAGAAGCCGGGGCTGAATATCTTGCATGTCCCAATTGTTTCGCTCCCATGAGCTGGATGTGTGTCCGCTATGTCTAATGATGCCCTGTTATTTTGCAATGTGACAAACTTTTCCTTTTTCTTCTTCAGGTATGATGAGCCGTGAATGCCGTTATACTTCATTAGTTCGATTCCTAGCGCGCTTTATTGCTATCGCTTGGAGATTCACTAGTGTACTTAGAAATTAAGCCGTTTTTCAGGCCATTCCTTGAACTGTTCCATCACTCCTTAGCACTCAAAACACCTAAAATGCATGTACTTGATTTGAGGCAGGATCTCGCTGCCTGGAAAACAAGGCGCTCACGGCAATCCAGAACACGTGCCAGTGCTGAGTCACCATATCAACAGTCAATTGAGAAAGAGACGACCTGCTCTTTCGATTCTTGCACTGCTCGGATCTTACTCATTTTGGCTTAGACCAGTACCACCGAATGACAAAAGTACTCATCGGTGAGTCTGTTCCTGAACAGAAAATATGCTAGAGTTATCTGCTCACACAAAAACATAGGAAAGACCCCGGCATTCAGCTTTTGTCACCTCAGATGGGCTTTGTCCTTAAAAGCCCGTTATAGGGACACTCTGAGCGCTGAATCAGCGAAGAACCCTCAGCCATGGGCTCAGAATTCCCTCCCCTGCCCCAGGCGCAGAGCCTAGGAGCTCGGATCACAAGTGTAGCGCTCCAGAGTGAGGCAGAGAGTCTGTTCACCTCACTTCTGGGTGATTCTTGCGCTACCGGGACGACTGTGACCAAGTATACGAGCACGGTCGTGGAGGACGGCGACCTGGTCATTGAATACATCAATGATCACGGTGGTCCGCCCTCAAAGGCCACTATTCATCAGTGGCAGGTGAATAGTAAGGACCTAATACAATCCAGTCCTTACTTCCGGGCGTTGCTTGATCCAAGCAAGTTCGCAGAAGGCAGACAATTCCACGAGCAGAAGAAGACCTTTGAATCGATTTACGCCTCATCCTCACCTAACGCAATGATCACTTCTGATGACGAACCTGAGATCCCGGTCGTTCAAATTCCCACGGATGAGACCACTCGATTCGTCGGTGTGGACGCTATGGAGATGTTCTTCCGTATACTCTGTATGGATTCGCTTACAAGCGAAGACCGTCATTCCTTCCAGGATGCACTGCGGATATTGTCTCCTGCGCCGATTGCTAAGCTCATTGAAATCGCGGATCGATTTAACTCGCCCGAGGCGGTGCGAAAGGCTCTTCACAGCATCAACTATCGTTTTGGCAACAAGCGCCCCGCCTTCTTCGCTCAGTTTCGGGCGTGGGATTGGAAGACAATGGCCGAGGATCGCATACGGCAATATATCTATGTTTCCTTGTTTCTCAAGCTGTGCAACTGCATCCAGGTCAGCTCGCATGCCTTGGTAGTTAGAGGCTCTCAGTCCTGGGTCGACAGTGGTCCGGAACAGCCCGCTCCAACTTGTGGGCGATGGCGCTATCTTCCTGATGGTGTCGAAGGTAAGGTCTATTCATGTAAACGCCTTGTTGGTAAAGAAATACTAAATTTCCAACAGAGGAGTTGTACTACCGCCGTCAGTGTGTCATGAACACAATCACTGATTTGCAAGCGCACTTCCTTCGCCTCTACCGAGCCCTCGATGACCCTAGCCCTCCGAAGCACCTTTACACAACTGCACCACTCATACCCTCCTCTACGCATCAAATTCAATGCCGTGGAGGCCTAAGCAACTCCCGAGAATGCGATATCTTCCAGCTTGGCCAAATGATACGTTTCTTTTCTATGCGATCCAAGACGATATTTCTAGGATCTACTCTCCTCGACCCAGAGTTCGACATTGAAAACCACCAAGATGGACAGACGAACACCAAACCACCATCAGATATCACTGGAATCATCGCTTCTCTCAAGCAGTACCCAGACTACCAGATCGACACTAACCACTCCGGCTGCGGCATCAGACGACGCTTTCTCCCAGCCCTCGAATGCATCGAGAAGTACATAATGGATGGCCGTGGCCTGCTAGGCATCAACCTGTCTCCCATACCCCAGCACCTAATGACAAAGGAAGCGTCGTGGTCATATTCAGCTTCTACTTGGACCCATGAAGCCACCATTTCCCACCAGGGACTCGCTGGTGTCCGGCACCTGTTTTTCAGCAATACCATACCCGCTGCGCCACCCGAGCACATATTCGACGATGCCGGACGCATGGTTTTCTCAGCCAAGAAACGAATTTGGGAAGCCTGAGAAGCATAAGACAACCCCTCCAAATCTCCCCACCTCGTACGCTTACCAAATACTGGATTCCAATTCCTCCCCTTCCCCCCCCCCCCCTTTTTCCCTTGAGCGCGCACATTATCACGCGGCACTTTGCCGCAGTGGAGAAGAAAGAAAATACTTGTGCTCCACTCAGCCTGTCGGCGCTGAGATAACTTTACGGTGCTACGAAATGATGATGTTATGTCCTATTCCCCAAACGCATATCCACAAGGACCGGTCTAGACCCTCATGCAAAGCCAGAGTGCTGTTCCGGGTGGCCCGTGATCTGGAGTGTCTGGATTTAGGCTATCTGGGATAGGGATTTAGCTTGCTCTTCTGCATGTGTTGATGACATGGATGAGGAGGAGGAGGAGGAGGAGGAGGATACCAGATGCATATTCGGTGCTTGATAGATTGGAGATACTGGCGCTGTTGATTTGTGAAGACTGTAACATATCTTCTTTTTTCTTGTTTGTATGAATACCCACTTTAGATGACAGCTCTGACTGCAATGAACATGCCGATTTACCTCTTCCTTTGTAGCTCTTAGGAGGAGAAATATTCTTTGGACGTAGATGCAGATGTAAATTTATCTTTTTCCTCTTTAGAAAAGAAGCATTCTATTAGAAAAATATCGATGAACACAGCGAACAGATAACTTTTCCTCTGCTGCGCCTCTACGACCAGCTGCAATGGCAATTCTGTTTCTTTTGTCCTTTTCATCATCATACAAGTGAAGTGCAGAACACAAACAAGGGAAATCAGTCTTGGAATCATTTTGAACTTCATCTCATCCATGCTAGGCACACAGACTGCTGTGTTTGGTATAACTTTTGTGTAGCCGTTCTTTCCGTCTTTATCTTTTTGATTTCACCTTTCGTTGTTTTTCCTTCTTTCCTGGTTGCTTTTTTTAGTGTACCTGACCAAGGTAATCCCAATCAGCAAACAGGATCACCCCAGAAGTAGCCTAAATCAAGATCCAGGTTGGGTCCCGCCGGGAAGAAAGAACCCGTAATCTGGCCAGCGGCCGGGTCACAGGGGAAGTAATCATCGTAGGAGCTGCGTCCAGAGCCGGATTTCTCCGGCTTCATAAATTGATCGAGCAGATCTGACGGCTCCAGGTTGTAGGGCACATCCGTTCCTAGGGAAGTATCGGACTGGTCCATTGGTGGGCAGGCGATGTAGTCTAGCTCTGCGGCAATGGCGTCAACTGCGGTGGCAGTGGAGGTAGGTATGGTGGAGGCAGGATCAAATGTGACGAAGTCGTCTTCGTCCGCAGCGGTGGGGAGTTGGTCTTCAATGAGTGCAGCGGGATCAGTCGCGTCTGCGGCATCCAGGACAGAAATTTCCCGGACCTCATCGCTGTCGGGGAAGTCGCTCATGTTGATACCAACGTGAGGCGCGAGCCTGCGCAAGAATCCCTCACACAGCTTCCAGGCTCGCTTGGAGGCCATGTTTGTCTTGGACAGAGCAGCCAGCCAGTCCAAGGATTTCTTCGCCGCCTTGAGGACCATGCTGGCCTTCTCCGGGACATGCTGGACCTTGAGTGCGAGCTCCAGCAACAGAACGGTGGAGGTCTGCATGAGGTAGTGGAGAGTGCACCACCACGGCGACATGCGGTATAGCAGCGCTGCGTCCGGGGTGTCCGGGAACAGGGTCAACATGTGGCATGCGGCCTCGACACATTCAGCAGCGGTTTTGCTGCAGAATTCGTGCGTGCGTTCTCCCTCTGGGTGCGAAGAATCCAGACGACACAGACATGGCCGGGCGATGCCGATTTTGGTGCTGTAGAAGAGAAATGCCAGGCCGATGCGTTGGCTGAGGGGACACTGCGATGTCTGCGTCGAAGTGAAATCGTAGGCTGCGGGCAGGTTCATGAACCATGAATCGATCTCGAGCATCAGGCTTTGAATGATAAATTCCGTGCTGGCCCAGGGCGACTGCTGTGCCTCGGGGCTGTAGAGTTTGACCGTCATCCGCTTCGCGATAGTGGTCAAGGAGGTTAGTTGTAGGAAATACAGTGACATGCATGGCGGTAGACTCCTTAAGTAGTCTGCTCTGTTCACCTTCGTGTCGGACTCGGCCGGTGCAGTGTTCCCATCCGACTCTGCAGACGAGTCCAGGCTGGCTGCGCTGTTGCTGTTGGCCGAGATTCGGTCCAGATGGTTTGAGCCACGTCCCGCTGTGCTGATCAGCTGGGCCACTTCGTCCCTTTGGAAATCACATTCGTCAAAAGGAACAGGTAGCGGCGTGGTGCATGAGCTGTCGATGATGCAGGATGGCCGTCCTGTTATCACGGCGAGGAGATGCTCGAGCGTGTACAGGGACCACCACACCCGGTAGCGTATCTCCTTGGATGTGTCCGAGGTGCACATTCCCATGTTGCGTAGATGCAGGCCAAGAGCCAATGCACCTCGCACTGCACCACCGGAAAGCTTCCAGGCTCTGGACAAAACGAAGTTGTGAGCATGGATTTGACGCGAAATTAGGGTTGCCGACATACCGATTGATATGGCCGCATGCAATCAAGTAGAAGGAAGCAAGTCCTTCTACCTGCAGTTGCTGCAGATCAGGATGGTTCAGCAACTGATCTTCCAAGCTCAGAGCCATGGCCCTCGAGAAATAAATCTGGTGGCCCTCCTCGCCTTCTTTGAAGTCTGCATTGGTCAATTGTTCATATTTCAACGCGATTGCGAATATCAAGTTAAGAATCGCCAGCCACTTATTTCCTGGTTTCAGTGATGGTTGGCTGAAGAAGACTTGAAACTGGGAAACAAAAGTCGATATTCCAATTATTGGGAACGACGGATGCACAGATGTCAGATAGGAATTCAGCAGTTTTCCAGCTGCCTCACGCGAGGGAATTTCCGACGTATCGACGTGCCCTGCATTGGGGATTTCCAGGTCATCAAGATAGTAATTCGAAGACGCTACCCAAGGGTCACCTTGACTCTCAGGGCGCGGCGTCAACTTTGGGGAGGGTAGGGTATTTTCATCGGCGTTGCTCGAAAGGGCCGTTGACCATGCGTCGCACTCACTGCTAACCTCCTTGCTCAGCTTCTGGAGCCAAGTGATCTCGGAGCTCTTTCCAATATATCCGGTTGCTCTCGCGGTCTCGTCTCTGTTGAAGTCTTCTTCGGTGTGGTCCACCAACTCCGGAGGCGCGACTGAGGACGATCGAGAAGGCGGCGGCTCAGACCCAGACCTCCAAGAGAGCTTTCGATCCCCCATTGCCGCAACTGGGGCGTCGGGGTCCAGAGTAAGGTCTGGAGCTGAATCCTGCTCCCATCTTAGACAAGGCTCGGTTATCGGCGACAGGGTAGGCTGCCTACCACGGCCAGAGCAATGTTGACGAGCTGCTCGTCCGAGACGCCAAATCGATTGCTCAGTTTTCTGATAACGTCTTCGTATGCCTGTACCTTTGCGGAAAGACTTGCCAGTTGCCTTTTTCCAGGAGAGGCCGAGTCAACTCTTCAGCTTCCCAAGAATTGGAGCGGTGCCGCCCACCTTTTGGACTTTTCTCTTTTGCCGTCAGTATAGCAGCAGATAATGCCGGCTTCCCGGCAGTTTCGACACCCAGACTTGTCCCCGGTGCATTTTGTCTTCCTCTGTCTGCAAGACTCGCACGCACGGCTGACATGTCGACGGTGGAATCTGCCTGGAGAGGTGAACGCCGACTCAGCTCCTTCTGCGAGGCGCGGAATGGCCATCTTCTTGGCCCCCAGGTCAGACTCAGTCCGCCGGAGATTAGGCATCTGGCTCTCCTGTTTTATAGAGTGAGCAGGGGATTGAGAGCATAGAGTCCAGACAAGCAGACCGGGCTTACCACGCTAGACAACTGATTGCATGTATCAACATCCGCGCAGGACAGCTTGAGTAGACTCTGCTGTTCATTCCATGACGGGAATTGGAGATTGGCCATGCTGAAACATGCAAACACTATATCAAGTCACAAAACAATAACTTCTGGCAGAATTTCAGTCAAAAGATGCAGCTCAAACTACAGCTTCTTGATTCTAAAACTCACCTCAGCATAGTAGAGCTTAGTGCTTCTGGCATTGGCTCTCACCAGAAAGCAGGTACTGCGTCTTTTATCCAGAGGCCGAGGTTCCCGGGAGATCAGAATAGAGATGTCAGGCGGGGGAGGGTAACCATGGGGTTTATAAGAAGTCTAAGTGGACCCAGCCTATAAACAGGACAGACTAATTCTCAAAGGGATAAAGGATATGTGAATTCAGACAAGATAGCTGGGTTTGGGTCTGGACCTGGACGTCTAGAGTCTCTTCTAGATTTGGTGATGACATCGGATACCGACATACGAATTGGCCACCAAACATAATCCAAAAAGCGCTCACAAGTGCTCATAGTTCAATTGCCAATTTGCGTCACTTGCCAAGAGGCGATTCGGGGGCGTCTTCATTGTGCGGAATTGGACTGCTGATTGAGCACGCGATTTGCCATCAACCATACCCTAGCGGAGACGCTGCATCAGATTTCACGTCAAATGCCATCAAGCATTGGCCCAACCGCCGTTTCAGGGACCTAGGAACAAAGTCCGTCTGCTTCGTGGTTGGATTTCGGTTTTTAGAACCGACAGACTCTAGGCCCCGCTCGAGCGACCAGACTTGAGAGGTCATGGAAAAGAGATGCTGGAGGTGCTTCAATAGGATAGTTTCAGTCCTATCAAGCTGAGGACTTTCCCTTGTCAGTACTTTAGCCTATTCGGAAACACCAATTGGAGCACCGTAACCCAAAACAAGCCCACCTAGGTCATAAAGTGGAAGCATCTCTGCGCTGAGAGTGTACCACCGATTGCAAAAGGTCCAGAACGTCAACAAGTGCTCAATCTGACGTTGGCATGGCAAGCCCGCCCCTGGGTGGCGCGGCCCTGAACCCATGTTTTGACAATGCTTAGCTCAATGGCAAAACCAATCAAGCCAATCCATGGAGAGCGAGCGAGGTACAATAACCTTAGGTTCTCTACAAGGTGGAAGTGGCAACCCATAATGTTGACGTCGGGCATTACGTCGCAATGACCAGGAAGGTGATAACGTTTTAGTCCGTTCTTTGATTGTTATGTCTAGATACAACTAAGATTTTGTCGAGGCTAGACACAGTCTGTGAAGAAGAAAGAGGCAATGGCTTGGAAAAAGAGAATCGGCTAGCAATATCAAAACAACCCACAAAGCCGACCATTAGTGAAAGGAAAACCAACTCTATACACCTTCAGACCCAAGTTTTAATCAATCAGGAAGTTCTCGGCAACGCTCTTGATGTCCTTGGTAAACCCGGTAGTTTCGCCTTCCATCTCCAATAGGGAGACGCTGGTGACATCGACATCAACGAAGGGTTGGGTCTTTGAGAAGCGCACGCTCATTGGGAAGAATTCGTTCTCATCGCCGTCTGTCGACTCAAACTCAAAGCTTCCTGACGGGTTGGATCCATCGACAACGCCCAGATTCCAGTCGAGGCTGTCCCCGGAGACCTCATAGATTGCATCAAAGCTGGACACCGCGGGCTCAGTCGCGCCGAATGGGATCGTAACCACAACATCCCGTAGACTGTCCGTGCCACTGAGCTCGTACTCCACGGTCACAGTGGTCGAGTCAGAGCCCTTGTTCACCCACACCGTGAAGGTAATGGGAAGAATATCGGCGTTGTCGGACCCCGTGCTAGCTACTCGCCACCGCAAGACGGCAATCATATTGTTGGCAGGGAATCGCTTTGAGGTATCCTTCAACTGGATCGCCGACGAGTTGGTGAACAAGGCCTTGTCGACATTGGGATGCGTCCGGAACTGAGCATTGTGTGTGGCGTTTGCCCGGAGGTCGAGTCGGATTTTTGCGAAGGAGGGGTCGGTGATGCGGAGCTGAAGGTCACCCTTGACCTCAAACGACTTCAAGGTACCCTCGCGAGTGAGCGAAGCCGAGATCTGCTCGGCAATCGTAATCTGGACAGGCTCCCGGTCCGCAGTGAGTGACTCGCGAGCAGAAGACGGCTCTTGCACGGGGGTCGAGATCTGTGGGGTGAACAACGGACTGGCCTCTTCTTCGGGGCCCAGGTCGCCCCGGACCTTTTCGTAGATATCGGTCGCCTTGGACTTCTTGCCAAGTTGCATACCCTTGCCGCGGGAAGGAATGGGCCTAAAGATCATTTGCAGTTAGAATCAGTTGACGGAACAATCTCGAATAGACATACTTGGCGAACGACTTCTTCTTCTCCGCCTCATAGGTATCATAAGTATCCGGCACAGACGGGCGGGAGGGAGGTGTGTAGACGGGGTAAGAGGGAGTCCGAGGTGCAGCACCACGACCAGCGCGAGCAGCTTCCTTGCGCTGCATCTCCAACTGCTTAGCCTTCCGTTTCCGCTCTTCGCTGGCTTCCAGTTCTTTGTTCTGTCGAGACATGTTAACACATCATCCTATCCCGTGATCTGGATCAAAACATACGCGTTCAATGATCTCCTGGATTCTTTCCTCATGACTCTCCATCTCTAGGAATGTCTTAATCTGTGACAGAGAAAGATTCTCCCGATATCCCAGCGTCACCAATTCATCGAAGGCGCTCAGCAGCTCAAAGGCATTGCGCAGAATCTCCCGCTCATCCAAGCTCTTGCAGATGCTGGCGGTCACTTGCGCAAAGAGGTGCAGGCTGTCGATGTCTTGAAGGATGTTCGATTGGCGGTTGGTGATCAGGACAATGTATAACTCATCCAATGGCTGGTACACGAAGCGCACGTTGTCCTGCTCGACGGTGGTGTGTTGGGTGCCTGAATCCGCAAGCTTGGGGAACGAAGCCAGCAGGGCCTCAATGCGAGACCTAGAGATTTCTCGGAACTGGCGCGAGAGGACAGCCTTGCCCCCGCGGGTACATATCGATGCTGCCAGAACGACCTGTGGTGCGGGTGGTGGTCAGTCCAGGGCTCACCCCACGTATTCGACAAAACAAAGCATACCATGGCGACCCAGCACGAGAATCAAGGAAAGAGAGTGGTAAGCAGAAAGACACAAGCAGAGCAGATGAGCTGTCTGCAATGGACAGCGACAAGTGGTGGGGGTGTAGAGAAGTGTCGAGCCCCTTGTAATCGGTGTTGATGAGGTGAATCAATCAATGGTCACTCTGTTCTCTTTGGCCTGGTCCGTGCACGTGCCCTCGCTTAGTCGTCAACTCTTTTCCTCACGCGTTTCGTCTGCTTTCAACCATTTCCCACCACAGCATCTCTTGCTTCATCCCCCGGATTCCCGATGACTCTCTCCAGTACTACCTCAGAGACCGTCTATCTCTCTTTTCCTTAGTTACCCCTCTTTCGACTGACTCCCGATCCCATATCTGGGTTGCCACTGCCCAACCCCCTCCCCACTCGTACCGGTGGCACGCCCGACCATCTCTACGCGTTCCATGCCATGACAGCCGCCTCTCCCTTAACCTTTTCAACCATGGAAGTCCCTGCTGTGGACGATACGATGGAAATGGCCTCGCCCTACCAGGGGCAGGCTGATGATTTCGATATTGATATCGACCTGATGGAGGACCATCCTTCGAACATAGACAGCGAGATGATGGGAGCTGATGACTATCTACCCACCTCTCAACCCACTGACTACAACCCCGATGCGATCAACGATGCGGATATGGTTGACGGGGTATCAGAGGGCTCGATGGTCGATGCCGACGAGACATACGTGGAAGAAGACCACGACATCGATGTCCAGGACGGAGGCGAAGGAGCATACGAAGCCGAAATGCACGAAGGTGACCAGGGGGATGGTGCCAAAACCCCCGTTCCCACAGTCCACGTTGAAGCCCCTGTCGAGACTGCACAGGAGACAGCCAATCTGGATGATACCTCTGTTGCTGCGAAGCCGGTTGAAACCGACCAGGGATATTCCCAGGCTCTAGAATCAGTACCCCACGTGGAGAGCAGCGTGCAGGAAATTGAGCAGCAAGACGAAAGCGTACCCTTGGAACCTAGCCAACCCGAGCAAGTTCAGGATGAAGAAATCGAGAACATCGAAAATGATCTCAACAGTGAAGGGGAACATCTCGGTGAAAAGACTAATGAAGCAGCACAAGTCGATGTTTCCGATGCCGATAATGCTCTTGGACATACCGAACTGCCTGCCGCGAACCAAGAAAATGGCCAAGCCAAGTCGGTCGTCGGTGAGAATGAAGCTGAAGCTGCGGATCATACCGAGCTAGAGCATGTACATGAGGCGGACGACCAGCACCATCATGTATCCCTGCATCCCGTGAAAGTCATCTACCAGGAGAATGTGATTTCTCTTTTTCCTCCCCTGGAAGGTGATTCATCCGAGACCTTCTTTCTCCACGATGAAAATGTGGTCTACGACGATGTTGGCAAGTTGTTCAGTGCCTTGCGCGAGGTACTCCAGGATAATGTGGCGGAGAACGAAGTCCTCATTATGGATATCGATCCTCTGGGTATTCAAATAATGGAGGTAAGCCAGATCCTTGCCCTTCTTTTCTCTCTCCCACCGACCGGTATGCTGATTCATTCTCTCCAGGACTCTTCGTACACATCCAAGGTGTCCTTGCACCAGGTCTTGGACTTGTACCTTAAACTTTGTCACAACGATGGTTCCAATGAGCCCGAAGCTTTGTACCTGACACTGTCCACCAAAATGACGGTTTCGGCCGAGATCGCGAATCTTCTTGCTGCAGCCAACGGAGGAAAGGGTCTTTCCGAGCTCCATGGGTGGGACGAGACTAACGATGTGGTTCCTATTTCTGAGGA